GAGGCCCTCTACAGGATGTTTAGGGAAACCATGTTGGTTCATAGCCATATACGAATTGGGGTCTCTAGTTTGTGGTCCCGAGTATGAGATCTTGAGGGCTGACGGTGAAGGTTTCGGGCGCCGGGCTTCCATGGAAGGTCTGGGGCAAACTCGAAGCTGACTGTTAGGCCAGGATTTTGGCTTCTGGAAAACCATGGAAACTGAGCTTGCCACTGCGGTCAGCTCCTGCAGCCTCGTTGGACAGGTGCAAGTGGTTGGATCCATTTGGTGTAGGGCACGGGTTGCAGTTCTTTGCCTGACTATGCAAAGAATAAGTCCCTTCTGATAGTTTATGCTCCACGCAGGGTAAAGTCAATGCATGTAAGTCATTTCCTCTAATCTGCTTCAAAGCAGGCAGAATTCCGGATGCATCAAAGATAGGCCTGTCGATGTCTCTTAAAAAGAATGCTTAATCCTGATGGTAGGTTACCGGAGCCTGGATTCAAATGGGTAAGCCGCCTCATGGAATCCCCTCCCATTCCATGCGGGAGTCTTTGCGGTAATCGAAGATTCCTCCCTTGTGGAGCGCAGAATTCCGAGTCAATTACTGTTCATGCGATGACACAAGCAGTTGTGAGCTGCACAATTGCTGCGGGACTGACATGCACCATGTTTCCCAAGTTCCTCCAATACTCCTTGACATGCGGAGTGCAAAGTGAAGAGATGTAGACTTCTTGTACTGAAGTGAATGTTCTGCCAAACAATGCGCTCTAGGCATCTACCTCGACGCTGTTTGAAACTATTCGCATGCTGGCCTTCTGGTGCCTTTAAACCTTATTTCTGCGCCATCTCGAAACCAGGAATCTGGCCCACCCCTGACCTTTCAACCCAAACCGTTCCGCGGAGCAGGGAGCCTGCACCTGACCAGCTGTAATGAAGGGGTCTGAGGGTATAGAGGAGACATAAGCGCATAGGGTATGCAGGTGTATGGGCACCATTTGTTTTATATAGTACATGGTATGGAGTCTGATCGGGGCCAATGGTACCCGTTAGGGGCCATTAGTTCCACCTGAATTCTAAGATATTTAGGATTCTCCAAGCTAACCTGAAGTCCCTGTGCAAAGAACGCTATGCTGGGGCACCAGGCAAGTCCATGATGGCCCAACGGCAGCGGGCTGTTGGTCTACCACAGCAAGAGTAGAAAAACAACCAATGACAGCTGCGGCGGTCTTTGACTGACACAAATATTTCTCTGTCAAAGGGATACCTGCTTCCAAGGAAAATGTATTATTCACATATCTTTTTTCCAAAATCATTTCATTTAGAAGTCGAGCATTACAAAGATATTCGATTTTAGTACTAATAGCTAGATATCATAAGTATTCTCTATACTAGAATCCTGTAATCATTCTCCGCCGGCGCGGAAGAAATCGAGACCAACATAAATTTGAAAATTTAAAACATATTACAACGAGAAGAGAGAATCAACTAAACATAAAGAATAGAAATATCAAAAGCATCAACATTCTTGATAAATGATAGAAATTTATAAGTATTCGAAGAATGACAGAAAATTCCGAGTCATTATATATATATATATTAATTCATAATAGTATAAAATATTCAAGAAAATGAAAAAATCATGAAATCATTGAAATTCATAATCATTCTGAAAAGTTCACAAATATCATATTCTATAATGGTCGCAACTTTACGAATGCTCTATATATTATCATTTGAAGTATTCTCCTACTCCACGGTTTCAGTCGAAAAGCCATCCTAGGCCCCCGCAAGAAAGCATAATTTCCCCGGCAACACCATTTTATCTTATCCAGCTTAAAACCATATATTCGACGCGAAAAGATCTTGGGGCCTAACTCGAAATCATGATTTCATTGGAGGGGCTATCTTAGGCCTAAGTTGAAACCACAATTTCTCCGGAAATTTGAAAACGTAATTTCACCGGAGAGATATTCTTGGGTCCAAGTTAGGCCCATGTGTATTGGTTGCACCCAACTTGAAACCATGATTTTGCCAGCGGGCGTTCTTAGGTCTGCCAGCGCAAATCGTCCGTAAAGAGTCCGGCAGATATCACGTCTATTTATGTTTGTAAGCAGAGTCCAAAATCAATTTACTCAAACCTCCTACCGGCAGGCCTACTATATCCCATCTATTCATGTTTGCACGAAGTGCCCTGCTTTTGCTTTTTATGTTGGGTCGGAGTGCCCTGGGTTAGCCCTGCTGTTGCCTCCCTTTCAGAAGCTAATATAAATATCTTAAAAGATCCAACTTTACGACTTTAAATTTCCGGGCTGCGACTGTGATTTTTCACTATCTACTTTTACTCTTTTGGAAACTCTCCATAGCCCTGAGCCTCCTTCTCATGGCTTGTCTCCCAAAACCTACCTCTGAAGTCCCTTCACAACCATTGTTCCATCAAAATATATCAAACGTAAAATTGGCAATTCGCCGTTCAAGGCTAGCACAAAACAAGAACGACCGAGATTCATCATTCCTAGCAAACTTTGAACAACAGAATGCCATTCTTATGATTTAGGGCGGGTTGAAGCCCAACTTGAAACCTAGCTTCGGCCAGGATGCCCCTCTTGGGCAGACCCTTTAGGAAAAAGCCGGTGTATAATATTCTTTCAGCCCAACTGTACGGATCAAGAAAGTGAATATCCCCTGCCCCCGTTTGTTCCACAAATTATGAATTTTAGCATACCCAATGGGTCTACATGCATCAAATACTCATGCTGCTGCCATGCTTCCCCTCCGTATGAGAATCATCAATAGGATCCATCAAATGCTACCTTGAATGCCTACATCAAAAGAGCAAGCAAGCAGAGACAGCCTGGTGCATCCTTGCGACCATACATCAATTCTTATCATATTGACCTATTCTCCCTCAGATTGATATTTCTTCGAGAAGCTTGATAAGCAGCTTTGGACCATGAACAAAAAGCTGATGGCCATAATCCCAGTTGAGGCCCAAATCTTGTATCCGGAACTGACTCACATCTCTTCGTCTCGTCCCTTGGACACAATGGTACCTGTGCAACTTTAATCAAAGACTGAACCGAGCCCCAAATTCCTGCATGCGCCAGCTTGCAGCTTCCAGATAACAAGACACGGCAGGAACTTAGGTCTGAAGGCCAACGAATGTCGGCATCTACGTTAGAAAGAGGGCATGGGAAACCTGCAGCTGGTGGATGTCACATGATTTTTCGGATGGCTAGGCTCAGGCTGTGAGCTTGTGCAGTGGACAATTGGGCTTCGCTGACTTGCAAAGAGGATCATGGTCCCGGCCCAACAACCATGCACCGGCTACTACAAGAATGACAACACACACTCTGCCCGTTCTGTCCGCCGCCCTGTCAGTCAATCGCGGGAGGGAAGCAAGTGCCTAGGAGCAAGGCGACAAGGACCGTACACTCGACTGCGGCAAACTGCCAACGATCACTAAACCATCAAAACTGCCGACAAGGCACCGGGCGACGCTGTAGGCAACCTTGCTGCCAATCTTCTCGGAGAATTCGACCAAATGCTCCTTTGCAAGCTGTTACGGCCAGGATCGCGACACGCGCATTGGCATCATTCCCACTGTCTACCGGTCTACCACAGTGCTTCACCAAGCTACTGCACACGACGGCTTGTGCCCATGATCTTCTGCGTACTTTGCGGCCACCTCCTGCGGCCAGCTTGCACATCTCATGAAAGGGATGCTCCCACGCAAACGATTACGAAACAAAAGAGCTGGTAACAGCGCAGAGGCTCCTTGACGAGGGCAATGCTGTTTGCATTGACCTGGCAACGTCTGCAATACTTCAATGCAGTACAACTTCAGCAACGTGACTTACTCTTCGATGCACGCCTGTGGCGTGACGCGGCCGCGCAGCAGTGAATTCCGCCTCCGGCGGAAAACGCCGAAGCGCTGCCACCCAGTTGTGGCGGTGGCGGCGGGTGTCACTTCGGCCTGTGGGGATGCAGGGTCTTCCAATGCAGTGCATCCACTGCACAAGAAATGACTGGTTAAGAGACGCAGGAGCTACGTCAGCTGGATAACACCAAATAGCTAGCTCAGAAATGAAGAATACCCGACTATGCGGGGCCGTTGCTTATTTGGCTTGGTCCTTCGGGGGCTACACTTCTTGAATTGGAGATTTTCAGGGGTCCTAAAAAACTCCTGAACAAGAAGGTGTAGGGGGCTACGTCTCTCTTAATGGCGGGGGCCTCCAAAAGCCCCACAAACAAGAGATTTCCGGGATTGCGATTCTTGCTTTGGTGGCTCCTTGCCTCCTTACCCTTACTCTCTTTTTGGGGGATCGCTATATGGGCTACATCTCATAATCAAGGTTGGGAGCTTTGTGGCCTAATGGATGAGGCGCCTTTTTCTATCCAAATTCTCAAAGAGAGATAACCTGAACCTGATGGGCATCCAAATTCACATGCAGAATGCGCTGGGCCCAATTGTAAAATGTTGTCACCTGCTTGCATCTGGAACCCTGCTAACTTCCCCTTGCCCGTGCAGCAAAGCACAGTGAGCCTTCCATGGGCTGAACGTGTTTCGCTATTGGGACTGAATCGGTTGTCAAGGACTCGCACTGAATGCATTCCGCCCACTGTCATGCCTTCGCGGTTGTGCTTGCCAGGCCATCCTCAAACTTGCCCAGCTGCTTTTGCAATGCTTCCTGCAGCACAATTTGCAACAATGAAGCCCGTACTTGGATTAGAATAAATGTCCCGTGGGCCTCAACCTACCCCCAGGGTGAGAACGGTGAGAACAGTTATGGGTCACTCTAGGATTCTCGCTTTTGGCTTATCTTGCTTCCGAAGTTATGGAACATGACCCCCGATTTTGGTGAGCCTGCGCGCAGCAACGCAGTACCAACGACCGTCAAGACAAAGCACACAGTGCTTATCCAACCGCCGACTGGCCTTCTCTGCTTTGAGGTTGAGGTACCGCCGCGTCAGCTTCTGAAACCTTGTGTCCGTTTTGGCCTGCCGCACATACGCAACATCGAACCCCAAGTTTGCACGCCAACGTCTTTACCCTTGTTCGCACTCTGGCAGACTACAACGAAAGCCTGGACCAGATATACTCCACATCACAAATACCGCACTGGTTGCAAAATCCAGGCTTAGACTCCTGCACGCACGGCAATGCATCCGCCCGCTGCCCTGCCTTGCCGGCTTGCTCGCTTGACAGCTGCTCTGCAAGCTCGTGGATCGTTTCCCCCAAGCTGGCCTGTGACACACAACGCAACATGATTTGGGCAACACATGTTTGGATATTTTGCGATTGCGATTCGTCGCCCTCTCTTTCTGCAATCCACTTTGTAAGGAGTGCTGCCTCAACATGCGGATCACATCCAAAAGGCAGCTTCTGCGTGAGGTCATGATTGCCTAATTCCATACTCATGGTCCCGTATGCTCCTGAAAAGGTTATGGGACTGTTCGCCTACTTGCGTCGTCTTTGCCACAGAGCAACGACAAAACTTGACATGTTCACTGATGCCTGTGGTACGAA